GCTTGCATAATAAACACTCCATCTCTCCTCAGATTTCAAAATTGATCTGTTTCTCAAATAGGTTGTTAATTTCGCCATTACTGTGTAATCAGCAAGTCTGATGTCTTATTTCCATTTTGCTGCATAGATGATTCTCGCCACTGTCACAATATATTTGAATACCTCTTCCAAAACTTTTGGTAATTTGTTGGGCAGTATTCTTAATAGCATGTTCTTAGCTTCCATAGGGAATTTAAATTTTAGTATGTTCTCCGTTCTTCCATGTATTTCCTTTCAGTATCTTTTTGCTTTTTTTTTTGAACTACTGAAGTTCTTATTAGCAATAATAAAACAGGGTTGCACTTACCTGTAACCAATGCTCCCTCTAAGCTGTGGATTCTTGTGAGCAAAAATTCTACTCTGGGAGCTACTGGCATTAAAGTTGTGAGTGAGCAATTTGGCTCCTGCATCAATGAGTTTGCTCTGGAGCCATCCTTCCTGAGCTAAGACAAAGATGTGTGAGCTAGAAGCTGAAAAACTATGAGCTAACTCACACTAGCTCAGCTTAGAGGGAACACTGCCTGTAACTGTTCTTCATTGAGTTGTCCCTGTACAGGCACACATGGGTTCTATGCAGCTGCAGGCCAGCTGCCGGAAGACTCCTTCTTTAGCTTAGCAACAGAGTGGGAGGAGCCTCTCCCAACTGAGAACTATTAAACCATTTGGTGCCTAAACGGTCATGTGCTTCAGGGGAAGGGCTCCACACACACCCCCATAGTTCTCCTGAGCTGACGGCTTACCTATAAAACAATCTTTATTTTTAAACTCACATGGGGCAGGAGGGAGGGATGTGTTCCTGCAAAGGGACAACTCGATGAACAACAGTTACAGGTAAGTGCAACCCTGTTTTTATCATTGTCCTGTGCAGTTCCACATGAGAGACTACCAAGCAACATAAGGTGGTGGTGGGGTGAGTGAAATTATTTACAAACAGACTGAAGTACAGCCATTCCCACCGACGTCTCCCTATTACTGTCAGCATCTACGGAATAATGTCTAATAAATGTGTTGGCCGAGGACCAGCGGGCAGCTCTACAGATGTCTTGCAGTGGGAACCCAAGACCTAACGCCATAGAGGTGGATAGAGATCTTGTTGAATGTGCAGTAATACTCAGTGGGCACAACGGGGCTGTCTCTCCGTACACTCATTGAAGAGCTGATACAATCTATATGGAGATAGTTTTTGAGGAAGCAGCTCTTCCTCTAGTCTAGGCTGATCCTGCATTGAGCAGGGGGTTGAACTCGATGGCCCGTATGGCCCCTTCTGACTCTGTGATTCTGTGATTCCTCCCAGTGGGTTTTTGTTGGGATTCTTTGATTCAGGGTTGTTGGTCGTATCGGAAACACAAGAGCACACACTTAGTAAAAGAAAAATATCTTTACTATAAAACAAAATAAAACATGGGTAAGGTACTTTGGATAAAAGAAATAAAATAAAAGGTTACATACTTGCAGTTAATTTCAGTACTATATGCTAACAGCTACATCTTTCTAACTGTCTTGCCTTCTAGAAGAGAACTTCCTCTCTGGTTCACACAAAGGGCCATAAACCTAGAGAATACATTAATGCTAGATCAAAGCATTTCACTTCATTAGGATAAACAACTCCCACAAACTTTCCCACCGTAGAATACATTATGTAACGTAACATCCTGTTTCCTAACAAACAACATTTAACCCTGTACTGACTGAAGTGTAAGCAACTTGCAATTCCAACAGTTTTTTTCTCTAGATTTTTTTGCCATTGAGAAGAAAGGAGGTGGTTGTATTGTTTCCTCTAAGCTGAGTTAGTGTGAGCTAGCTCACAGTTTTTTAGCTTCCAGCTCACACATTTTTTGTCTTGGCTCAGGAACGATGGCTCCAGAGCAAACTAATTTATGCAGCAGCCAAATCACTCGCTCACAACCTTAATGCCAGTAGCTCACAAAGTAGAATTTTTGCTCACAAGGCAACACAGCTTAGAGGGAGCATTGGGTGGTTGTAGACCTATACTGGACCTCCGAACCCTTAATACATTTCTTAATGTGCAGAAATTCAGGATGTTCTCTCTAGGAGAAGTCCTACCACTTATGCCTAAAGACCTTCAGTTTGCCATAATTGATTTGGAGGATGTGCATTTTCATGTCACTATATGTGACTCCTGCCGGAAGTACTTAAGGTTCCTCCATGGAGATTCTGTGCATGAGTCCAATGAGTTACTCTGGTCTAGCATCTGCTCCAAGGGTATTTACAAAATTTACATGTGTAGTTGTATCCTACCTTAGGCTCTAAGGTTGTACTATATATCCATATTTAGATGTTCCTCAGTGGCACTCACTACTAGCATTACCTGAGCACTGACCACCCTGAGTAACCGGTGGTTCATCATTAACGCACAGAAATTGCAGTTGGTACCAATCCAAAGCAGAGAATTCATAGGCATGTAGATGTGTAGATACGTTTCGGGGGTTGTAAGTAAAGGTAAAGGTTCCCTTGCTCGAAAGCCAGTTGAATCCGACTCTAGGGTTGCGGTGCTCATCTCCCTTTCAAAGCCGAAGAGCCAGCGCTGTCCAAAGATGTTTCCGTGGTCATGTGGCCGGCATGTTACCTTCCCACCGAAGTGGTACCTACTTGCAATTTCTTGCTTTCGAACAGCTAGGTTGGCAGGAGCTGGAACTAGAGATGGGAGCTCACTCCATCATGCCGCACGGGGTCTCAAACTGCTGAACTACTGACCTAGAGTCTCGAACTGCTGAACTCGAGGGGAACACGCCTATTAAACATATGTCATCTCTCAATCACCCCCGGTTGTCTGTAAGGGCACAAAATTTGGGAGGCTAAAATGGGATTTTTCTTCTTCTTCTTGATATTTGCCGTGCAATGTCGCAGACGCAGTTTACTCCTTCACGCTTTCGTGTGATGCTGAGGCTTTCCGGAGGGCAAAAATTAATTAAGCCCTCCGCCTCCTTCCATCTCCTAGACAGGCGCACGCAGTTTCGGTCTCTCTCCCTTCTCAACGCGGATAATCCCTGCCGGCCTTCACAAAACTACATTTCCCAGGGTTCTCTGCGGCCGGAGAAATGATCGGCGGTGGGGTTTCCCGTAACGCTCAGAAAAGCAGTGCTCAGAAATGGCATCTGATACGAGAAAGGGCGGCGAATCAGGAGGGGGCTGGAAGACAGAAGGGATTAGGGGAGGGGGCATGAATGAATTAAGCAGCCCGTTTTATCAGCTCTAGCAAAGTGGGAAAGGAAAGTGAATGCATGCCTGTGCTTTGCCAGACCCCACGATCGACCTTGCGGAAAGCGAAAGTGAAAATGCAAAGAGCCGAACTTCAGCTTATTTACAGCCACTCCCAAATAACAGCGCTCGGTCTGTCCGCTTTATTTTTGCTTTCGGACACACAAAAGCCCAGACGGGACAGCGTCCTGCTGCCGGAGGAAGAACCCCCTGCGACGCTCT